TGCAAGCGCCGAGGACCTTGCACAGCCTGGCCACCGCATCTCCTCGAGACAGCCACCGCACCGTGTGGATGCCTTGGACTTCCAGGTTGGTCTTGTAAATCACACGCTGCAGGTACTTGAACCGCTGACTCCACACGCTGGAGTTTCCGAGCAGAGTCGCCACAGTGCGCACCACCTTGTTGACCATGTCGAGATCCGGGTTTGAGTCAGCGGCGTCCTTCACAGCCAACGCCTCACTGTGTAAAGCAGGGAACAAGTATTATGGTTTGTTAGTAAACCAATCAGCGTAGATAACATGCTACAATACAGACCAACTCACATACCGATGGGCGATGCAGTGGCATGAGAACAGATGAGGGACGTGTTCACGAAGACGCGCCACCAATCTGTTCTCTCTCCCGGTCATGACCGACGCCCCGTCCGTGCTGATGCCGACGATCTTGGACACATCGACGGCAGCGGAGCGAAGATGGTTCAGAAGCACCTCAAACAAGGACCCTGCATCACACCGCTCGACCGTCAGCAAAGTGAAAAACTCGCATGCAACTTGGCGGTTCTTCAGAAATGTAAGGTACACAATCATGTGTTTCCCCCGCGTGCGGTCAGTGCTCTCGTCGCACTGGATGCCCAGGAACGGTGATGCCAGGACGTGGTACATCTGCACCCGGGTGAGGTAAGTGCTCATGCTGTGGACCATCTGCTGGAAGCCGTAGCTGCAACAAAGGTTAGAGAAATTATCAGTACATGATAGTCAAGCAAGTTGTTTGACGTGCATGTTCAAATTTGCAATCAATTTGAACCGTCACTTACCGCATGAGATAAACGCCGTACGACTGCCGGGGAATGTCTGGCGTGTCCTGCTCCGCAAGATGCCGCATCAGCTTAGGAAACATGCTAATCGGCGCGTCGCACTGGCACAGGAATTGAGTCGACCGCATCAGCCGTATCGCGCGGCGGCCCTCGACGTCGGAGTTGATGAAGTCTGAAATCACCTGCTGCCCCTCGCGGATTCCCGCCGCAATCTTCATCTGGCGGTCCACCGCCGCCATGTGTGCGTCCGTATGCTCGTGCGCCCGGAACGACTGCGTCTGCAAGTCACGGCCTCCGTCGTCTCCCTGCATGGCGTACCTCGTGTTCCCCTTACCGTACGACATGCAGATGCTGCACTTCACGTACGGGAAACCGTCCTTGGTTTTCCCAAACACAAGCCAAGAAAAGTATCCCGCCCACTTCGTCTCGTAATTAATACTCGCCTCCAGGTACATCTGCTCTCAAAGCTGCGTCTTGGTGAGTGCCGGCGAGCCGGTATCCGCGCGCACCGGGATGTCACCTTCTTCCGACAGCTCACCTTCTATCTGTGCAGGCTCATCGGGCTTTTCCGGCGGTGGAATACGGTGGCCTCCCACCAGCAGACTACTCTGCGCCCACTTACCAGATCGCGCACGCTTGGGAGCGGAAGTAGCCGACGGTGGGCCAAGGGACACCCACACCGTGCTTGGAGTAAGACTGGGCGAGGGCGGTGGAGGATCTTTGCTGCAGCCAACAATAGCCGAGGGGAGAGTGAACGGGACGGGAATAGGAGAAGCAGCAGGAGTAGGGGTTACTACAGGGGCAGAGTCGTGAACGGTAGACCTAGGCGGTTCAGGTGTGACGGGAGCAGCCGTAGCTCTAAGAAAATCTAGCCCAGAGCGGGGAGCATCCGAAGCTTTCTCCGGCTGGGACGGCGCTGTTGGTTTCGCTGTTACAGGCGGCTCGTCGGGGCCAGTGTCCGGAGCAGCTTCGTCGGCCGGCATGGCCTCCATTGGTGGCTAAACTGAACGAGAGGAAAATGAGACAATGAATGCACGGAATGGAAAGAACACACCAGTGAACAAAGGAACGTTGGCTGTTGGTATGGGGAGGGAAGGGAAGGTTGGAGATGGCGGGAGCACGAAACCACCGCGCCGGGATTCCACGGACTTGATGGCAACATTCGACGATGAATTCGTCGTTGCATTAAAGGCCGAATTCATTCATGGACTCCTTGGCTGCCACCGCATGCTGTGAACAGGCCATTCTGGCCAATGGCAGACACATGCTGTGCACTGTGCGGTGCGCGTGGCAGCACCGTATCATTGATTTGGCTATGTTGGCGCTGTTGCCAGCTGTGATGTACAGCACGTCAGTGTTTTCCTTTGTCGGTATTACGTCACTCACGGGCGCGTGAATGGGGTACCTCACATGGGGCCACTCGAAGAAATGATTACGCACAAGGGGGTTATCGAAACGAAGCTTCTAGGAAACTTCGTCCCGATACCGTCGCATTCAGGGTCCACGGAACGCATACCCTGCATAGACAGAGTCCGCAACTACACTACTCTGAGCCTAGTTACAAGAATTCAGAGTCCGTTAAGTAGCTTCTCTGATTGGATCAGAGTTCACAAAATACAAAACCTGAGTTTGCAGGGACCACCAAGTCAGAAGCCTGTAATCACCCTGAAATCAGGGTAATTACCCTGATAAAATCAGCCCTGCTCATATCAACCTCCCACTGAAAATTCCCCTAAACCCAAAACATCTCGCTACTTTTACCAAGCAAAAAGTACAATCTTGATATGAGGTTTTCTTGATATGAGGATAGGAATACGCTCTAATGAGAAACTCTTTTCAAGATGCGTGAAAATATTTCCTAGTTTAAAAAGGTTTCCATTTATAATACTTAGACACCCAAAACCTCCCCAAATACAAGATTGTTGGGCTGAGAATTTCAGCCTTAGGATCTTTGCAGAGAATAGGCTAGTAAGTGCTAGAGTAGCACAGCGGAAGTCTTGAGTGAATGTACTTGTGCTGGTATGTGAGAACAAGTAATTGATTAAAGCAAAGGGCATACAGGAATATATAGAAAAGATAGATTACAAGGAACGGTTATGTTTATCGAGACGCGTAACGCTTCGACTATCGAGGTGGTTACTGTTCACTGAAGCGTCGCTTGCTGTTACGTAACCTCCAGGCGGTTACAGCTCGCAACCTCTAGTTGCGGTTTGATGTGGTACGCGCCTTTTCGACTTCGTACTCCTTTTGTTGTGCTTCAGTATCGGGTGAGGTTCGATACTACAGAAACGCACTAAGTCATGCGTTTATTTTCCCAACACCGTGCGTGTTGAAATTAGGAGGTCGCTAGAGTAGCGGAAATACTCTAGGAAATAACGACGTCCCAGCGACGGGGCTATGGTCACTCAGAGGTAGCTCTCCTGGCTTGTAACTTGGTGCCAAAGCGGCGGCCGAGGGTAGGCCGGACACAAGCTTGAGAATTGTGTAATGATAGCATGGCAGTACATTGAGTTATATAGGAAACATAGCAGGGAGGCAGTTACCAAGGCGCAACTGTATTACAGTTGCGCTGTAACGTTTCAGCTGCCCAGTTACTGGCGAGACCTTTCAGCTTCGGCAAGGGCGCGGTATTCTGCCGCGCCTCCAGGGTGGTTTCGCGTACTGTAGACGCTGCCTCTTGCTCAATTCGACCCTTCGGCTGCCACGCGGGTCGCAACCACTGTACGCGGTTGCGCCCCTGCAGTTCGATACCTGGGTCAACATCCCCGATATTGAGGGCTTCGCTTCTGCACTTCAAACAGTGCACTGCAAGATAAATAACACACAAATATATTTCCAACACTCCCCTCCACTGTTAGAAGTGTAGAATCCAAGAGAGATGAAATTCTCCATGTTGAAATTCTGAAGTCCTCGTCAGGGACTTCACCGGTACGCCTTGAAATGCGTCTTGCCAAGTCGCCCAAAATTATGCGACGGCGCGTTGAAGATTTCCTCCACGAAATTCTCCGTGGGTAGTGGCAGGTTCTGACCTGCTCCAGGAGATGTTCCTGGTGATGATAAAGGTGGTGAGCCAAACTGAATGAAGCTGCTCCCACAGGTCCAAGTGTTTGAACGCTTGCTCGTGATACCATGTTGAAATTAGGAGGTCGCTAGAGTAGCGGAAATACTCTAGGAAATAACGACGTCCCAGCGGCGGGGCTATGGTCACTCAGAGGTAGCTCTCCTGGCTTGTAACTTGGTGCCAAAGCGGCGGCCGAGGGTAGGCCGGACACAAGCTTGAGAATTGTGTAATGATAGCATGGCAGTACATTGAGTTATATAGGAAACATAGCAGGGAGGCAGTTACCAAGGCGCAACTGTATTACAGTTGCGCTGTAACGTTTCAGCTGCCCAGTTACTGGCGAGACCTTTCAGCTTCGGCAAGGGCGCGGTATTCTGCCGCGCCTCCAGGGTGGTTTCGCGTACTGTAGACGCTGCCTCTTGCTCAATTCGACCCTTCGGCTGCCACGCGGGTCGCAACCACTGTACGCGGTTGCGCCCCTGCAGTTCGATACCTGGGTCAACATCCCAATATTGAGGGCTTCGCTTCTGAACTTCAAACAGTGCACTGCAAGATAAATAACACACAAATATATTTCCAACATGTGCAGAGAAAATTCTCCTAAACCTCATGCGTTTATCTCGCTACTTTTACCAAGCAAAAAGTACAATCTTGATATGAGGTTTTCTTGATATGAGGATAGGAATACGCTCTAATGAGAAACTCTTTTCAAGATGCGTGAAAATATTTCCTAGTTTAAAAAGGTTTCCATTTATAAGACTTAGACACCCAAAACCTCCCCAAATACAAGATAACCCAAGCATTTTTTTTAGTGTATGAGATAAGACATATATGTCTAACATCCAGGCAATGACGGTAGTTGGTCTCGTACGCAATGCTGAGGTGCGTGGTAAGGAATGCCAAAAAATCCTGAGCATCATTGAATCTTAGCAGGTGGGTGGGATTCTGACAGTGGAGGAGATCCAAGATAGAACGGCTCAAACCCTAAACACTTAAAGGTTCAGTGGCCGTATGCTGTATTTTATATTTCACACTCCTTTCTTGACCAGTTTGTACTGGAGCAGAGTCCATTCGTCCTTCACAATGTGTGGTGGCATGTGTGTACTGGCGATGGCACGGCATCGAGCGGTCAAGCCGTGACGGTGGTGCCGAGGGCGGCCATGAGCAAGCTGATGAGCTCTGGGTGGGCGGGCCATGCAGCGCCCGTGATGAGGTGCCCGTCCTGGAAGCACCGCGAGATGGGGTCCGGCTCCTGCCACTCGCCGCCCGCCAGCACCACCGTTGGCTTCACCGCCGGGTATGCCGTGCACCGCATGCCCTGCCACGCACACAGAGAGAAGGGATGGGGTGTCAGGGGAAGCAGAGATGGGCACAGTGGAGGGAGGAGGTGGTGGTGCGGTGCACCCCTCTGCTGCCACTCCTTATTCCCATTCCAGCTGCTTAGCCGCCCACCCACACACGTCGCCTTGCCCCACCCACCCGCCTTGCCCTGCACGCACCTTGAGCACGCCCGCAGCAGCGAGGATCTGCTGGCCGTGGCACACGGAGGCGATGGGCTTGCGGGCCGCATGGAACTGCCGCACCACCTCCAGCACGCGCGCATTCAGCGCCAGGTACTCGGGGGCGCGCCCCGCCCGGCACCAGCAGCGCATCGTAGTCATCCACCCTCACATTCTCAAAGTCAGCCGTCAGCGCAAAGTTGTGCCCGGGCTTCTCCGTGTACGTCTGCACGCCACGCAGTGGTCAGCCATACCACGATCACAAGATGACAAGATCATAAAATGACACGATGACAAGATGGCAAAATGAAAAATGACAAGATACACAAATGTTTCCATCGCCATCCCAACCCTTTCCATGCTGCCTTCCCTTGACACTGCATGACAGCGAGAGGGGTGGGCACGCACCTGGTCACCCTCGAAGTCGTGCACGGCCGTCTTGCACACGTCCCCTGTGCGCCTCTCCGGGCACACGGCGTCCACGCGGTAGCCCAGCGCCTGCAGCGCCTGCATGGGCACCATGGCCTCGTAGTCCTCCATGAAGTCCTGCCCGCCACACCCGCCACCCCGGGGGATACAGGGCACCACCCACGAGGCACGCGGAGACAACGCCACATCTTAGGCCATGATCACCAAACCTTAGTTGTTGATCCAAGGATCCCCCACACATCCAACCCAAACATGACACCCCCTGATCCCAGGCCCAACACCAAAGAAGCCAAAACCCTAAAGTCTTACTTCAAACATTTTGAGCCTTCAAGCCTCAGAGCACAAGCATGCAGCAGCGTGGCAGCATCGCACACCGCGGAGCATGAGCAGCACCCCCCACCGCTCACCCCACACCGCTCACCCCACACCGCTCACCCCCCCACCGCTCACCCCCCACCACTCACCCCCCACCGCTCACCCTACACCGCTCACCCCACACCGCTCACCCCACACCGCTCACCCCTGCCAGCTCACCCCTGCCAGCTCACCCCTGGCAGCTCACCCCTGGCAGCTCACCCCTGCGAGCATGAGCACGCGCTTGTCGCTGCCGTGCACCTTGGCGCCCAGCGCCAGCAGCAGCAGCGACAGGAACTCCGGGTGCCCCGGCCATGCCGCGCCCGTTATCAGATTGTGCCTGGTGGGACGGGGGAAAGAGGCGTGTAGGGGAGCGGCAGAGAGGAGGTGAGAGGAGCGTGGGAGGGGTAAGTGCGGAGGGAGTGAGGGTGATGGGGGGGGACTGAGGGTGACCCGCCCCCGCATCCCCGCCCCCGCCGGATGACTCCCCCCCCACCCCCCCCCCTTCCGATGCCCCCCCCCCCCACCCATTTCCCCCCAGCCAACTCTCTATGCCTCCCAGCCCTCCATGCCCCCCCACCCACATGGCCCCAACCCCCCATGGCCCCAACCCCCATGCCCCGCGCCCCCCATGGCCATGCCCCCCATGGCCATGCCCCCCATGGCCATGCCCCCCATGGCCATGCCCCCCGGGGCGCACTGGTCGTCAAAGAGGCAGGCGGAGATGGGGTCGGCGTCCACCCACTGGCCCCCGGCCAGCTCCACCACGGGCTTCACTGCCGGGTACGCCGTGCACTTGCTGCCCTGCCATGCCCGCACCATGCACGCCCCACACACTCCACGCACCACACAGGAGCGGCACAACACGGGATGGCTCGTGAGGGAGTGGCGTGAAGGAATGGCCATGAAAGGGCGCCATGCACCACCCACACGCTCTCACGTTCTCACATCTTCACACTCTCACGCTCTCGCGCTCTCACGCTCGCACACGCTCCCCCGATCACATGCTGAGGTGGGCTGTTTCACTCGTGGCAGGCTGGCAGCAAGTGCCACAGCAATGCCTTTTGCAGGTGCAGCGCTGGGGGACTGCTGAAATACACCCAAGCCCCTCCGCTCCACCTCATCGCCGCACTCCCCTCGGCGCGCGCACCTTGAGCACGTCAGCGGCGGCGAGCACGAGCTGGCCGTGGCAGATGGAGGCGATGGGCTTGCGGGCGGCGTGGAAGTCGCGCACGAGCGCCGTGACGCGGCCGTCCACGGACAGGTACTCGGGCGCGCGCCCGCCCGGCACCACCAGCGCGTCGTACGCGTCGCAGCGCGCCTCGTCAAACGTGGCGTTCAGCACGAAGTTGTGCCCCCGCGACTCCGCGTACGTCTGCTCCTCGTGGCCGTGCGGCAATGGGCGGTGCGCGGTGGGAGTGGGGAATGGAAGGTATATATGTGGATAGAAGATTATACCACGGGATTCACATAATCCACTGGAGCACTGGGTGAGAGAGTACTGACTTATTGCTTCGAATTCGTGAACCTAACTAAAATCCTGAACTTCTACTACAAATCTGTATGTTGATGCTTTGAGTCTTGATGGTTAGAATTGAAGCTACGTGCAGCTTAACAGCCGCGCATGGTCCCCGAGTAGGCACGTCCACTGACTGTAATTCAAGCACTAGCTGACGATCTCGTCCAGTAGTCTGGAGCACGCGGCGGGGAGTGGCGGCTGCCAGCGAGCGACAGTGGCTCACCTGATCGCCGACGAAGTCGTGCACGGCGGTGCGACAGACGTCGCCCTCCTTCTTGCCCGGACACACGGCGTCCACGTTGCAGCCGAACGCCATCAGCGCCTGGAACGGCACCATCACCTGCGCGCCATGCACGGCGAGCAGCGGCGCGCGCGCGTGAGCTCGCTATCGTGGGCCAATCGACGCGCGCGTGGCGAGACGATTTCCGACACAATTACAATCGAGATGCCGCAAGTAAAATTTAGGCGTTGGAAACAGCGGGACGGCTGGAAGGCAGTGAGGCGCGGCGGCGTACCTCGTAGTCCTCCACATAGTCGCCCACGATGAAGAGAATCTTCTTGCCCTTCACCATGCTGCTCACCGATGTGCGACAATTGCGACTAGAGGAATTTCAAATAGGCGAATCACGATATTACTAAGGATTCCAAGGGTGCAAATAATCTGGTCACAAGGTGTGACGGACTGGTGGAGTGTGGGGGTGGATGCGATGGAATGCGCGGCGAGATGGAGGGTATGAATGGTCTCCGTGGGTGTAGTGGGATCTAGAAACTGAAGTTCGAGTGAAGGGAGTGATTTGTCTTCAATACCGTAGGAAATGCTTCGACAATTTACTAGCAGCACGTTTACAGAAAAGGTTAGGACGCGCTACATCGCATAGCCTTTCTAAATTAGAAGAGTGCAACTCCTAACTATTTGACCTAGGTCTCATTTGTACAAATTTTAATATGTAGTTAAATACGAGCATGTCTGAAACCAGGTGTTCTAGCCAACAACACAACCAACTAACGTACAGGCCTACGATGCACTATGCCTTGGCAAACATCATCTCCTGCTCGATGTGACACAGACGTGTGGACATTTGTGTGCGGCTTCACCGGCCATGTTGTAGCGTGGGCACAAACCCAGAATCACGAATTCGCATGTGGATGTGCCACGCCCTTGAACTTTTGGTTAGCTAACATGTGCTGCTGCTTGTCCCACCAAAGCAGTACCATTCACACCATTGTCCTTCCAAGCTTCTTCTCAAAGAGGCGCCTCAAGAGATAGACCTGCAGAGGAGGATGGGGTGAGCGCATCCAGTGAGAGTTGCTCTGCAAACCACCGTGCTGTGTCGTGCTGCTGTGCGTGCACAGAGGACAGGAACGCAAGGGGGTGGAGCATGTGAGGGGAGTGGGGGGGCGTGCCTGCAGGAAGGAGCAGGTGATGAGGGCGAGTGACTGCATGGCTGTCTTCACCACCAGCTTGCGTGTCGTGGCCTGCGCCACTGGGGGGCAGGGGGGGGCAGGAGGGGAGGTGGGGGGGGGGGGGGGGGGGCACATGTGGTCAGCATGGAGAGCAGGGTCAGGCAGCAAGAGAGTGCAACATGTGGCTTGGGCGATGCGCGTGGCAACAAAACAAGAAACAAATTGCATCCAGAGATCTCACTAGAAAATTCTCACTGATTGCTAGATATAAGTGGCACGCAATAGTGTTGGCATGCTGAGAGGCATGGTGGGCAGCTCACGCTGGTTCTGGCGCTCGGCCTGCGCGTGGAACCACTTGGCCTCCAAGTACACACTGGTGATGTGGTTGTGCAGCCCTGAGAGCTTCGTCACTATCGGCAGTATGTGCTCTGAGGGGGTGCCCGGGGGGGAGAGGAGGGGAGGAGTGGAGGGAGTGAGAATGCGGTGGGGCTGTGCCACTCTGCGTGGTTGTTTCTGACAAGCAGTTTGAAACAGACGCTGTGCTTCTCTGCTGGAGACAACATGAAGCTTTAAGGTGGCAAGGGACAGAAATACTAGTGAAAGGAAAAGAGCTGGAAATGGAAATGCTGCAAACATAAAGAATGCAAAACATACAAACAAACTGGCAAAGAATCAGGGAGAGGAAAACATGCATGAATGCTGGACAGACAAGAACGCAGGGAATACAGGATTGAAAAGGAGGAGGGGCTGAGTGAGACTGACCGTCAGTGGCGATCTCGTGGGGCTGCACCTGGTGGCCCACAAACACCTCCAGTGACACCGTCTCAAACACCGGCGACCTGCCACCCCCATGCAGCACAGAGGGGGGGGATGAAGGGAGGGAGGGAGGGATGGAGGGAGGGAGGGAGGGAGGGAGGGAGGGAGGGAGGGAGGGAGGGAGGGAGGGAGGGAGGGAGGGAGGGAGGGAGGGAGGGAGGGAGGGAGGGAGGGAGGGAGGGAGGGAGGGAGGGAGGGAGGGACGGAGGGAGGGAGGGAGGGAGGGAGGGAGGGAGGGAGGGAGGGAGGGAGGGAGGGAGGGAGGGAGGGAGGGAGGGAGGGAGGGAGGGAGGGAGGGAGGGAAAGAGGGAGGGCGACATGTTAGGTTGTTGTTGGAGCCAGGCCAGCATGTACCATGCCACTCGCATCCCTCCTGTGCCACTCGCATCCCTCCCATGCCACTCGCATCCCTCCCATGCCACTTGCATCCCTCCCATGCCACTCGCATCCCTCCCATGCCTCTCGCTCCTCCCATGCCTCTCGCCCCTCCCATGCCTCTCGCCCCTCCCATGCCTCTCGCCCCTCCCATGCCTCTCGCCCCTCCCATGCTCTCGCCCCTCCCATGCCTCTCGCCCCTCCCATGCCTCTCGCATCCCTCCCATGCCTCTCGCCCCCTCCCATGCCTCTCGCCCCTCCCATGCCTCTCGCCCCTCCCATGCCTCTCGCCCCTCCCATGCCTCTCGCCCCTCCCATGCCTACTCGCATCCCTCCCATGCCTCTCGCCCCTCCCATGCCTCTCGCCCCTCCCATGCCTCTCGCCCCTCCCATGCCTCTCGCCCCTCCCATGCCTCTCGCCCCTCCCATGCCTCTCGCCCCTCCCATGCCTCTCGCCCCTCCCATGCCTCTCGCCCCTCCCATGCCTCTCGCCCCTCCCATGCCACTCGCATCCCTCCCATGCCTCTCGCCCCTCCCATGCCTCTCGCCCCCTCCCATGCCTCTCGCCCCTCCCATGCCTCTCGCCCCTCCCATGCCTCTCGCCCCTCCCATGCCTCTCGCCCCTCCCATGCCTCTCGCCCCTCCCATGCCTCTCGCCCCTCCCATGCTCTCGCCCCTCCCATGCCACTCGCATCCCTCCCATGCCTCTCGCCCCTCCCATGCCTCTCGCCCCTCCCATGCCTCTCGCCCCTCCCATGCCTCTCGCCCCTCCCATGCCTCTCGCCCCTCCCATGCCTCTCGCCCCTCCCATGCCACTCGCATCCCTCCCATGCCTCTCGCCCCTCCCATGCCTCTCGCCCCTCCCATGCCTCTCGCCCCTCCCATGCCTCTCGCCCCTCCCATGCCTCTCGCCCCTCCCATGCCTCTCGCCCCTCCCATGCCTCTCGCCCCTCCCATGCCACTCGCATCCCTCCCATGCCTCTCGCCCCTCCCATGCCTTTCGCCCCTCCCATGCCTCTCGCCCCTCCCATGCCTCTCGCTCCTCCCATGCCTCTCGCCCCTCCCATGCCTCTCGCCCCTCCCATGCCTCTCGCCCCTCCCATGCCTCTCGCCCCTCCCATGCCTCTCGCCCCTCCCATGCCTCTCGCCCCTCCCATGCCTCTCGCCCCTCCCATGCCTCTCGCCCCTCCCATGCCTCTCTCTCGCCTGGTACCCATCCAGCCCACAGCTCGTTGGCTGCGTCACCGCGAGTGCCTGCCGTCGTCCCTCCCACCTCCACGCACCCACGTGCTCCACTCTTCCCACCGCTTTCTACTCCATCACAAACTCCCTCCCCCATGTCCCCCCCCCCCCCTCCCACACCCCCCCCGCGCACTTGTTGGTGAAGCAGAAGCGGTAGTCGCCCTCGCGCTGCGACATGAACTCGAACTTGCCCTGCGTCTGCCCCTCCGTTGAAAACGCCGTGTACCCGTCCGGGTCGCTGATCTGCGCACCGCACACAAGGGGGGAGTGGAAGGGCGGGAAAGGGGAGGGAGGGGAGGGGATGAGGGAGCGGAGGGGGGAGGGGAGGGGGGGAGGGAGGGAGGGGAAGGGGAGAGGGAGAGGTGGGGGGAGGGAGGGGAAGGGGTGAGGGGAGGGGGGTGGAGGGGAGGGGGGGGAGGGAGGGGGGGAGGGAGGGAGGGGGGGAGGGAGGGGGGGAGGGAGGGGAGGGGGGGAGGGACGGTAAGATGGTGGCTCGGGGCGAGTGAGCGTAGAGCGCAGATAAGAGTGAAAGCACGCGCCAGTGGCTCGTGCTGTGATCGGTTGAGCCGAACGTCACTCAGTGCATGAGACTCACCACCACGTCCACGCCGTTCGCTCCACTCACCACTAGGTCGACGCCGTTCTGCTCCCAGTCGCCCCACGCGTCGGCGCTGACAACGACGAAGTTGCCGTGAACGACGTCGCCCACCCAGTTGACGTACTCCGTCAGACACTCTTTCCGGTCCAGCGTGAACCGCACGCCGCGCGCGCCGCTGCTCGCCGACAGCACGAGCACGAGCAGCAGCAGCTCGCGAAAACACTGCCGCCGCATCCACCGCCGCAGCCGGGGGAGGGTGCAGCGATTCGGCCTTGAAGGCATCGCGCTCCCACTATGTATTATGCTCAACCTGAACCAAAATCGAGAAATGGTGCCGACACTTAGACCAGGAGTGATGTGCTGATCTTGAACTCTTCACATGATCAGCACAGGAGTGTCAGGATGGTCCGTAGATGGCAAGGGGTTCGACCAACTGTTTGAACAGAGATTGTGTTCGCAAACTCTTCGCCTGATACGCCTGCATCGCAAACAGCTTTTCGCCAGTTGCGACGGTAGGATAAATACACAGACACTTCAAGTCCAGCATCACACGACGCGTAAACGGTACAGTTACGAGTGGGTATTTGCTACAGTTATACGATATGATATTACTGCTCTAAAATTATCTTACTCAGAGTCCTCGCTATCACACAAATCTGTCTGTTTTTCTAAGATTTCAAACGGATTTTTATGCGTTTTTTTGCAATAACAGGAATATTATTGAGAAATTCCTGTAAGTTGTGCCGATAGAGCACGAGCTCATATAGAGCGCGCGTAACTCACACTATTGCGAAGTGCCCATATAAGAGCACGCGATAGTGCAGAGTGTTATGAATAGTAAAATATTAAAAGTCACTGTGCACTCCTGACAGTAGCAATCGGGTCACACGGCAATGCGTATGAAGACGAATAGGCGGAATGGCCGATGAGTCGCGCACCGTTACGGAGAATCCGGATCGTCAGGGCAGACAACATCAGGCAGCAGCAGTGTCGAGGATTCTGCTGGAACAGTTCGTAACCTTCTAGAGTCGCACGGTTGGATTTTGCTGTAGTAAGGGAATGTACCCCTTAGAGTATATGGCTAGCTAGGTCGTTCGTTTCGTATTCCCCTGTACTCTTATTTATACGAATGTATTTGCGTGCCTTTATCATGTCAGTCATTTCATATTCACATTAATCTCAGGTCAAGGGCTCACCACTACCACACATTCTCTGCGTAACTTCATGAGGTGATCCTAGGCACGATCTATATTCTGATCGCAACATGGTATGAGAGAGACTACGGGAACCTTCGCTTTGCCACCTCCGAAAACATTAGCGAACTAAAGTGGCGTTCGGCACACGCTCACGTGTAGGGATGGCCAGAAAATGTTGAGGTTAGACAAATCTGACCGCTGAAGCGCACTCTAATCCGGCTGCAACAAACAAGGAGACGACGGCGATTGGCACTTCCGCCCTCACACAACTGCTTCAGCGACTTTCAAATTTGGAGCAAGGGCTCCAAACATTACGGAATGGCGACGCGGGAACATCTTCCCAACCATCTCAACCGGTCGCCAACGGCCAAGATATTGCCCCGCACACCTTCTCTCTCAACAGAAACGGCTCAACACCCAAGACTCCCCGTCCCGGCAATGAAGCAATCCTCTCAGCTCAATCAAGGTTATTGAGCATATAAAAAATAAAGACAAGTGCATGCTTTGACGGCAATAATTTTTATACCCAAAGCTTCAAGCTGGAGCTACTGCTGCAAAACGCGCAAATATTTCATTATGTCGGCGGGAGCTACGCGGGAACCACTGAAGACACCGTTGACGCCAGGACACAATACTACAGCGAATCGCTGATGTCGTATGACATATTAGTGCGCAACATGTCACCGGCGGAGCAGCTAGGAATTCGCTCCTACAAAACTACCTCTGCTCCTACACCCGACGTCTGGCAAAACCTCGACGACGTATACCAACCGAAGGATTCGTTCTCATCGAGTTGCCTACTCCAGCAGCTACTAGAGACAAAAATTGCCCCTGGAGAGAAGGCCAACAGCTACATCTGTCAGAATGTTATTATCTAGCCTGTAGTGGGGTGCTCTATAGCGGGCACAACCCAGTTAGGGTTTGCTATATGTATCCCAACTGCTGCTAGTGAAATCCCCCTTCCTGTTTCTAAACTTTGTACTGCTACTTTTGACATGGTTTCAGAGCAGGTCGACCCCCTTGGGTCGATCCTGTGGGTGGGCCCACCACCTAACTGCTTCCGCTGCTACTCTGTCTGTTGCACGCCCCGTGGCGTGCGACGCCTTCTTCCTGCCGCCGCGCCCTCGGGGCGCGCGGCGGTTTTCTGCCCGCCGTGCGCCCCGAGGTGCGCGGCGGTTTCCTACCGTGGGGGACCCGCGCGCAGCCCCCCGCCCTTCCCGTCGCGTCGCCCTGCCGGCCGTGCGCGGGCCTGCAGGCCGCGCGCGGCTCGTTTGCCGGTAGCGCGGCCTTGGGGACCCGCGCGCGGCCCTGCCCTGCTCGTCGCGGCGCCCTGGGGAGCACGCGCGGCCCCCGCCCTTCTTGTCGCGGCGCCCTGGGGAGCCGCGCGCGCCCCCCGCCCGTTCGTCGCGGCGCCCTGGGGAGCCGCTCGCGCCCCCCCTGCCCGTCCGTTTTGGCGCCCTGAGGAGTGACGCGCAGCCCCTCCTGTACCGTCCCCCCCCCGTGCTGCCCATTCCTCCCGTGCCGCCGTGCGTTCCGCTGTGGTGGGGGGTGTGGGGTGGCGAGCATGGGGGTGCGCGGTGTGGGTACTCCCCTTCCCTCTCCCCACCTCCTTGTTCGTCTCCCACTGCTGTAGCTGCTGCTGAGGCGGGTGGAGGTGTGGGAGCCGAGGGGAATGGCGCTAGGGGGGTGACGCGGGAGTGGAGTTAGGGGTTCAGCAGGGGGTGTGTGTCAAGGGTGTGGGTCAGTTGGAGGAGGTTGTGTGGAGATAGCTGTCGTGTCGCCTGCAGCGCCTATAGTCCGTCACCCTTGTGTTTGGTAGCCAGTGAGCCTGTTGCACCAGTCGCCAGTGTGTCCGTTGCTCCTGCCGCTCGTCTTAGCCGCGGAGCCAGTCACTCCATTAGTCCGTCGCCCTTGCTTCGGTAGCCACTGAGTCAGCCGCTCCTGTGCCCGTGCCTCTGCAGCTTCAATCGTTGCCTCCCATCTTCTCTCCTTCCACAGTTCCTCCTCCTCCTCACTTGCCCGCTGCGATTACCTCTAGCTTAGCTTATTATTGTGAACTCCTGCTATGCCTACTCATTGTGCTGATTACACCCCACTTTGGCTATGGGGGTGTGTCAGAATGTTATTATCTAGCCTGTAGTGGGGTGCTCTATAGCGGGTACAACCCAGTTAGGGTTTGCTATATGTATCCCAACTGCTGCTAGTGAAATCCCCCTTTCTGTTTCTAAACTTTGTACTGCTACTTTTGACAACATCAACCGTTGCCGAAGCTTACGCGATCAAATCGCAAAACTTGGAAGCACGATCTCAGAAGAAATATTCGTTAATATCGTGCTCGCAGGACTCAGCCCAGAATGGCGACCCTGCAAGACGCTTCTCCGGCAATAGGTCGCTATCTCGGAAGCAGCCATCTGCGCTGCCGTTCTCGTCGAACAAAGAGACATGAACCAGCAGCAACAAGCGTCGCAACGAGATCGGGAACGCCTCGCCTTCAATGCGAACAACACGGAAGAGCGACGACTGCGTCGCCTCTACTGCAAAATCTGCAGAAACTTCGGGCACTTGGCGGAGCGATGCAAATGCCGATCTCGCCCCCGTCACACCAATCCGGCACTTGGTCCGGCCGACAAGACGCACGAAACGATACGCGTCATACCCAGGGCTTTCAACCCCCGTCGCGCAAACTGAATCCAACGGTTCTGCACCAGCACCAATAGCCGTCGCAACTTGCTCCCGCCCATAATATCATTGGCAACATGACCATGACACACACGAGCGGATCTTGCCGTCGCGGCGTGCGTACGCCGTCACCCGAGCCAGCACGCCACCCAATTAGGGCATTCAAGGCTAACAACCCATTCAACCCCCGACATGATTTCAGCGACGACGACGACGACCAGGATTGGACCCTCCCAATCGCGCTGCTTGAAAGCCCCCCGCACGAATCTGATTCAAGGGCGGCTCCTCTTGAATGGATACTGCGCGAACAATTCATGACGTTTGATACTCCGCATATCGTCACGCCGCGATTGGCGCTGCTCGTGCATGACAACAACAAGAGGTACAACACTTGGTACCTCGACAGCTGCTACTGGCAGCATATGGCCGGTTCCGAGCGTTTTGTCTCAAACGCCGTCTCGACCCCCGCGGTCACTTACGTCATCGTGACGAACAATACCCGTTTGCGAGCAAGCGCGCAAGGCATCGTCGTGCCCAAGGCGCGCGAGAGCCGCACGCACATCACGCTGAACAATGTGTGTCAAACTTATATGCTATAGTCTGTGTAGGCTGTAGTGGGGTAGACAATATGGGGTACAACACTTCTAGGTTTTCCTACTTGTACTCCCCTGCTTGCTAGTTCATTCATTCCTCATTTCTCAACATGGTATAGAGTAGGTTCCCTAGTGGGAACGCTTCCTTGGGCCCACCACTGAAACTTTTTTTTTTTTCTGACCGGAGCGACAGTCGCTCCTGCCCGAGGCGCGCCTTGTGGGCTGCCCTTCTGTCGACCTCTGTTAGAGGCCCCTCTCACGGCCCCTCGCGCCACCCTCAGCGGCCCCATCGCCGCCCCTAGCGGCCCTGTAGCCGCCCTTCCAGGCCCCTTGCGGCCCCTAGCGGCCCCGTCGCCGCCCCTACGCGGCCCCGTCGCCGCTGACCTCCCTACACGGCCCCGTTGCCACCCCCACGCGGCCCGGTCGCCGCCCCTACGCGGCCCCGTCGCCTCCCCTAGCGGCCCCGTAGCCGCTCCCCTCCCTACGCGGCCCCGTCGCCGCCCCTACGCGGCCCCGTCGCCGCCCCTACTCGGCCGCCATTGCAGCAGCCGCCCCGCCCCTGGAGCGGCCGCCACTGCAGCAGCCGCCCCGCCCCTGGAGCGGCCGCCACTGCAGCAGCCGCCCCGCCCCTGGAGCGGCCGCCACTGCAGCAGCCGCCCCGCCCCTGGAGCGGCCGCCACTGCAGCAGCCGCCCCGCCCCTGGAGCGGCCGCCACTGCAGCAGCCGCCCCGCCCCTGGAGCGGCCGCCACTGCAGCAGCCGCCCCGCCCCTGGAGCGGCCGCCACTGCAGCAGCCGCCCCGCCCCTGGAGCGGC